ATCTCGAGTGATCGTGAGATGGTAATAACATATAAGTCTTCAAACCTAGAGATTTGACTTGTTGCCTATGAGTTGGTTATACATTGATTGTACGAAAACGGATTGGTAACTCGATGTTATAAAACGTGTCTTTATGTATGATTCAACAAGTTGTAGAACAAGCATATAAGTCGACGTTTATCTGTTCCTTCTTGGATTAGAAGCAATATCTGGTCCCCTCGATGATTTTGTGCTGACCCATGTACCGGGCCCAGTCAGAACTAAGTTGATGTGTTCAATTAAGTTCTATGTCAAACAAATCAGAAATCAGGAAACAAACTGCTGGACAATAAGTAAGACATTGTTCCATGTATTTGTCCGACTAATATGTAAAACAGAGGATTATATGATCACTTATCTTAAATGGCATATCATCATCATCCCAGTTCCACGAGACCTTGAAAGAGCTACGATTGCTGATCGGTTCCGGAAGTCATTCTTGAAGTTATAGTTATTAGACTTATCCAAGTGGGAGACTGTTGGATTAGGTTTCTAAGTTCATAACTATTTCTGGAATGTACTTGACCCGATTAACATGATCCATTTGGGTTGCATGGCATCATTCATTTGGATAGACAAAAATGAGAGAAATAACACTTAAGGTTTATTAATATATTATAAGTTCTAATATATTAATAATATTATTTAATTAGTATTGATCATGAATTAATTTGGAATTAATTAAGTGATCAAAAGGAGACTAATTAAATATATGGATTGACTGTGTAAATCATCTATACTTATATAGTGGGCCAATGCTTCATGGATTATCAAGTTGGGCTAAAACCTATAGGATGCTCCATGGTATTTATAGAACCCATGGGTCATGGAAATGAAAAGTCATGACAATTAGGGGTTACATGGTGTAACCCTAATTGTAACACACTATATAAGATTCATGTTCTTCACCAAAATCGGCCACTAAGATATACAAGTGAGGGCTAGCCGATTTCTAAGTGTTCTTCATTTCTATTTAATTTATTCCAAGTGCATTTGGTGTTGTGTGGGACATTTGAGGCATCACACTTGAGGTCACAAGGTTTTTTCAAGGAATCTAAACTGCTACAAGGTATGTTTTCTTGCTTAATTTTGTGTTTAAAAGTTCCCCATGTATGCTATATAGGATATAAACCTTGGAATCAAAATTTTCATGTATCATAGTAAAGCATCGATCCAAAGTTTCAAGGGTTTCATGTAAACCTTAGGAGTGTTAGAATGCTCAAATCAGGAGAACAACCTTTGTCGCTTCATTCACGCACAATCAATCATCAGTCTTGCTCTCAAGATATATATATATATATATATATATATATATATATATATATATATATATATATATATATATATATATAGAGAGAGAGAGAGAGAGATTCTCACATCTGTAATTTCAACCATTATCTTCTCCTCCAGTGATTTCCTTACCTCCCACTCCTTGTGAATGTTCTTCCTCTCTCCATAGATTATGATACTAGTTTCCAAGCACAATCTTCCTGCTCAACAATGACGATTAGTTTCAATGCCAATCTGACTACCGACTTCCTTTTCACATCCGGTTAAGAATTCTATCGAATACAAGATCTACTCCCACTATCAGGTTAGTAATTCTCTATTTGTTAAGGTAAATGTTAGCAATTATGTGTTTGAAATTGGAATTGGTATATAGGTTAAGAATGATGATGACGACAAACTCAAATTCCATAATTATTTGTTTTCAGTATTGCTCTATTGTTTCAACATTAACTTCTATTAGTTCCATTTTGTAGGTTTTTGTAGATTTGTTCATTGATGCACAACGAATGTTAATTCTTACTGTTGCAACTGCTTCGAGAATAATTGGATATGAAATTGAGGTAATTTTTTGTTCACTTACTTAAGAACATGAACTAAATTAGAAATAAGAAATATTTTTTTATATGTTTACTCACTTAAAGAGGGGCCTGTGTATACTGTCAGAATATTGGAGCTCTTGTGAATATTTTGGAAGCTAGTGGGGATAAAAAAGACTATAATTCACTGGCTCAAGTATGTTTTTCCGTTTTAACACAAAAAAATTTCTTTAATCCATTATCTTGGAATTTATTATCTTTTACTTCTTTGCTTGATCTTTGTAGCTATGATGTCATACTTACAAATTCTTTCCAAGCAAAAGAAGCAAATTATAGGGTAAGTTTACTGACTTTTATCTTATCATTATTTCACAATCCAAATGTTTTAGTTTACTAGAGTTTTTGTTATACAAAAGATGTTATGCTCTCAACCTTCAAACTGCTTAATAGCCCATCAATTCCTATGTATGATGTTTACTATGTCTATTTCTAATGATGAGGGTGACAAGGGCATTTTTGTCTTTTATATCCCATTGACATTAGTCTTAGTCCCAAGGCTAATCCAGTACACACAAAATAGTTTAATGTTATGTTTTTGTGAGATTGGAAGTATTTATGTGTTGATGTAATTAGAACAGGTCATCCATGGATATGTGAAAATGGGGTTGCTCCAGATAGAGCACTTGATCCTGCTATTCTTTCTCGTTTGAAGTAGTTCTCAGCAATGAATAAGTTAAAGAAGATGGCTTTAAAGGTACATAACTGAAACTGTTTACTTGCTTTTCTTTTTTGGGATAAGGTCAATGTTTCTAATTCATGCATTAACCTATTTTGGCAAATGTTTTGTGTTGTATTGTATGTATTGTTCCAGGTAATAACTGAAAGCTTATTAGAAGAATAGATTCCAGGTTTGAGGGAAATGTTCAAGTCAATGGATACAAAGATTTGAGACCTTATGGATGCAGTAAGATTAGTATTTAATCACTCAATAAAGAAAGTTATAGAAATAGCCATTTATTTGTTTATTATAAGCATATTCTACTTTTATCATAGGCCGATGTGGACAACAATGGCACAATTGATTATGGGGAATTTGTAAAAGTTTATTATATCCTTTCGGCTTCCTCTTACTTGCAAAAGTTTCTTCAATTCATGAACTTCTCCTAATTGTATATTTATCAGGTGTGAAGGTGGTGATGCAAGCAAGTAAACAAATTGTATGAAACTTTTAAACAATTTCAGATTGTGTAGTATGTTTTGGTAAACAATTGTATAAATATTCAAATGTTTTGATTTTGTATGATAGTTTAATGTTTTGTGGTTAAATTTTGTGTTTTTGCTTTATATGTTTAAGAAAACTGGAAAAATGAAAATAAATCAGGAGACGAATGTGAATTTTGTACATCTATGGGGACGACATATTGTTGCTATAGGTCTAGCTATGGGGATGAAATTTCGTTGCTATAGGTCTAGCTATGGTGACGACATGTCGTCTCTATAGGTCCAAGAATAGGGACGACAACCATGAACCAATAACGACGATGTGCCATCTTTAAAGCTACCTATGGTAACGATATCTATAGCGACGACAAAAGTTATCTATTGCGACAGGGCTATTGCGACAAAGGCATATAGGGACAACTTGTTCTCACATCCATCTATAGGGACGACTCTCTAACCTATAGAGACGACAAATGTCGTCCTTATAGGTCTCGTTTCTTATAGTGTGGACTTGTAATTGATCCTAAATCTTGTATAATTAGTTTCTATACATGGTTGGTTCGATACTTTTTTTTAAATCAAGAAAAAATGTCTTAATGTGGTGGTGCAAAACTAAGTTATGGGTTATATAGCAGTGCCAAAAAGTATTTGTCTTTAAAGCTAAAAACCTCAAAGACTCACTTCTTTAGGGCATCGACAATGTGTTGAACCACATAAAGTTAAATGGATTGTCACATCATCATTCTATGTTCCATACAACTCAGTTAAATTTTTCTATAATGTACTGAACTCTAAAAGGCTCAATGGAACACTACAAAAGCTCATTTATCATATCCATTTAATAATCAAAAAATTTTCATTTTTCCAATTGAATAGTTCTATGACCATTGAACTCTATAAAATTCAATGGATTGCCATATCATTATTTTATATTTCATACAATGGTTATTGAACTACAAATACATTAATGCCAAGATGACATCTCACGTATTTTACATGATAGAGTTTTATCCATTGAATGACAACTAGATTTGTCACGTTATTCAACTCGCTTATTGATCTTGCAATTATAGAGACTGTAATGACATTAAGCTCATTTTACTTTCATATCTCTAATATATATGGATGGAAAATATTTTATTCTTATGTTCTTGCTAGCAGGCATATTTGGCATGAACTTTTAAGAGCTTTTAGTTTTTTAAAAAAATCTCGGATATTTTTTATTTTTGTTTGATTGTAAAAGATTTTAGGTTTTACTTTTAAAAAAAACTTTGAATCCAAAGGGCGTCTTTGGTAAAAATAGTTGTTAGCCGGAAGTGGGTAGAGATTAGCTGGTAGCGAGAAACTGTAGCTTTTATTTGTTATATGAGTGTTTGGAAAAAGTAGCTGGTAGCTTTTGAAATATATAAAATTACATAAAAAAACTATTGATTAAAAATAAATAAATGTATAAATATATTTTTAAGGGTAATTATGAAAATTGATTTTAAAAGCACATTAACGTTTTGTTAAAAACTACTTCATGTAGCCTTTAACAAAATGTAATTATTTATACGTAGTTTGTCTTATTAATATAAACTGAATTATTCATTTATTTATCAAAAATTTTACTCTAAACATACTTAATTTTTACATCTTGATATTTAATATTTTCTTTAAAAAGAATACTTATATTTATATATTCCGAAGTAATTTTTTTTTTTAATAAACTCATGTATTATCTCACACCACCTAGTTACAAACTAATTTTTCATGGTCTTTTTTTTCTACATTTTACTGTTTCGATTAGGTTTAATTGAACATACCAAGGAACAAGTCTAAAACTTCAAATACTACAAGCAAATATTATGTTTTTCTTGAAACTTCCAACAGAAAGAAAAAAAAAAAAAAAAAAAAAAAAAAAAAAAGAAAAAAAGAAACGAGAATTGTAAAGTTTGCCTGGCGATTAAACCTAACAAAATCAACTGTAATAAGCAAAAAGGACTATGTAAGTAAGCGCCGTAAAACACGATAATAGGGTGAAAATATATAAGTTGAATTTTCCCATTATCGTCCATGGACTTGCTAGCTTAACATTACCCATGCCAAGGTAATTGATTTTGGTTCTGGCTATGATTATCTTGTTGCTGCTGATGATGATAGGGTGAAGAATTGCTTAACTGATCCAAACCAGCCATACTGAGAAAATGATGATCAACAGTATGAGGTGGAAATCCTGTAAGTCCCAAGAAATCCCTTGTCAACTCATCGTTTTGACCACCGCCATTTCCTTTACTCGGGTTCAGTGCTGCTTCGCCTGACGCTGATATAAATGCTTCTTGAAAGCCATGAGCACTCTTTGTGGAACTCAGCATGCCATTATAAGCCTCTTGAAATGCAGTTGACATTCCAGTTGTACAAGCCAAGGATTCAGTATGCAGCAGCTGAGAGTGAGCATGCATAGCATCGGTTTGGTGGTCGAAGCAAGCGGTGTTCACGTTAGCTAACCCGCCACCTAATCCCAGCATCCCTTGTTGTTCATTATCACTTGAAGACAAATTTCCAAGACCGGAAGCGTGATGATGAGCTGTTAACAGTGATGTAGGTGCACACATGTGATCATGATGGTGGGGCCCACTTAGAATAGACTGGTGCTGTTGCTGTTGCTGTTGATGTTGCTGTTGCTGTTGCTGCAGTGACATGACCATGGCAGAATTGGTACCAGTTGCAGGCTTGCTCATGGTCACACCCATCTGAGCTGCCTTTTGGAGCAATGCGGTGGCAGACATGTGAGGAGGAGAAGAAGGAGAAGGAAGATGAAGATTATTACTTGAATTGTTATTATTAGGGGTAGGGTTTTGTTGATGATGATGAACAAACCATGATGGTAACTGATGATTTTGTTGTAAAGTGTTTGTCATGATGTTTGAATTGAGTTGTGGGTGTTGCAGGAGATGCTGTGGTTCAGTTTTGAGTGGGAAACTGATTGGCAAATGGAGAGGAAGGTGATTTGATGAAAGTAGTAAGGATGATGATGATGATGAAGATCTTGCATTTTCTCCTGTTAAAGCACCACAGAAGGCTCTGTGAGTGATGAAGCTGTCCCTCCTGTTGTCATGATAGAGATGGAACAAAAAAGAAACAAACAATTTAGCACTCTAAACAAAAAGATGAAATCCATTTATTGTATGTGGAAGCTTAAAAAATTATACCATAATACTGTTTTCTCTTTCTATCACTAACACACATTTCAAAAATGAACACTATATCATAATATGGATTATTCCACTCGTGAACTTTTGTTAAATATATGTTTTGTTTATTAAAAGTTATTACACGATTTTACCTTGAGAAAAGTGTGCCACAATCACATCGATATTCTCGTGTGCCACAAATCTTGGAATGAGCTTTCCAGTCGGATTGAACAGCATATCGCTTCGAACACTTCTCGCATTTCCATTTCTTCTCGCCATGTTTTCTTGAGAAATGCTTTTTGATACCAGTGAGGTCTCCAAGTGCTCTTGCGGGTTCATGGTGGACACAACTGGGTTCTGGGCATACATACACTTTCTTCCTAACCACCTCTTGTTTTGATCTTTGCTTCAGCTTCCATGGCAGATTGTGACCTCGTCTATGCAACTGAAGATTCTGATCTCTTTGAAACCCTTTGTTGCAAATCTCACATACAAATCTGTTTGTTGCCATCAGCGATTTTGGAGACATAGCTATCACCTCGGCCTCTGGGTCTTTAAGATTCAATTAAAATGATGTAATTAATCAAATAAAGAAGTGGTCTTTATATATGTATAACACTTCCAATATCAAAAGGTAGAAGAAGCCAAGATGAAGATACAAGATCAATAAATATACGTCTATATTATATTAACATTGACGTATGTAGATGGATTTGATAAGAATCAAACAATAACATATGATATCCAACATGGTTTACCTGGATTGCCTGGAAGATTTCTCTTTTTCTTGTTCGTTTGCGTTTGATTGTCGGAATTAATTGGCACAGAAGCTAAGGAGGACTGTTGCATCTGCTGTGGTGGAGGGTACATAGTACCAACTTCATTCTTGTTACTTGATGAAGATAGGCTTGCTTCATTTGATGCTGATGTTAAGTTTGACATACTGTCATCCAAAAACATACCCTTCATCTCTCTCCTCTTTTTTTTTTTTTTTTTTCTTTTTTCTTTTCTCTCTCTCTCTAGGTTATTAAATGAACTGGATTAAACAAAAATTCCTTGTAGCTTTTGCTTTGACTCGATATATCAGAAAGATTGACTGATGATACTTTTATCTTCTTTGAAACCCATGTTCTACGGATCTGAATGACAAGAAATTAAGCCTAAATAAGAAACAAAACAATAGAAGAAGAGCTTTTTGTTCTTGATGAATCTAAGATAAGTTAAGATACAACTAAAATTCAAACGCCAAAAGTCTGGACCTGGCAGGCAGTTACCAAACTTCTTCTTGTCCGAGATATATAGTTATAAGCCAACTCTCCAAGATGATCCAACACAAGAATCCATACGCTCAAGTACAAATTGAGTTACCAAAACAAAAACAAAAATCCAATCCGTACAGGTTAAGAAAACAAGTTCATCAATACTATGTGTGTGTGTGTGTGTGTGTGAGAGAGAGAGAGAGAGAGAGAGAGAGAGAGAGAGATGTGGATGAGAACGTATCCCTAAATTTGGACCTCTTTGATCAAGCGGGCAGCTCGAACCTATCAAAATGGAACCAAAAAACCAAAAGGCAACCGCGATTCTGAAGTTGCATGTTTTTGTCCTATCCTTTGTTTGCTTCTCATTCAAAAATAAACTCATATACATTATTGGCTTTGCTTTTTGTGATGTACAATTACTACTTTCTCCCTCTCTCATATAAAAATTTGTGGTACACTTAAAAAATGAAAATAGTGTGTGAACAAATCATTAATATTGATTGAGAAAGAAAGTAATTATAAATTTTAATTTAAATTATCGAAAAGGCGTTATAATTGATATCAAATATCAAAAAGAGATTTGTAATACTGTTTCAAGCAACTTTTTGGACTTTTCTATTGCTCTTGTTCATAAAAGTTGAAATAAAGATAATAATGGATTCAAATTTTTTGCCATCAATATCGAAAGGAGTACATAAGAAAAGGGAGTGAGCTTTTGACACACGAAAGTCCACCTTCACATCCATCTTTTTCTTTTTTTGAAATTAAAGATTTCTTTGCCTTGGTATTAATTCTTTTATGCAATAAAAACAAATATATTGAGCATTACATACTAGGTTATAGTCATATTAACTATATGCTCTTCATTATATTCACTTACAGACAAAAACATAAGAAAAAAACAAATTGGTGTAAATATATTGAACATAACAATCTTTGTCGATGATTTATATTCACTCCATTCCAAAATTGATGTCCACATACAAAAAAAACAAACACATAGATTAAGGAAGTATTAATTATCATTAACTTTATTTAATAAAATGATAGTTTTATCGTTACTTTACATTTAATGAGGGGTATTTTAGTAGAAATGATGATTTATTTTGATAAAAATGTTATTTATTTTTCGTAGTGAAATATTATTTTGGAACAAACCAAAAATGAAATATGAACTATAATTTTGAGACGAAAGGCGCATGAAAAACAAAAAAATAGAACCTTTAAAAAGATAAAGCTTAATATTATTGTTGTCCAATCAACTAATACTTTTTATTTCATTTCGTTATTAATTTTTTTTCGATGTTAGTTTGGTAAATATCATTTTACCGGTTAAACTAGGGAAAATGTTTAATTTAGCCTCGGTTACAGCTAGTCTTGGCTATACCAAGTATGTGTGGCATTTTTATTATTTAAAAATTTTAAAATCAAACTTAATTCATCTCGTATACACTACTAGAAAAACAACCTTTTACGACGCGCAATGCGTGTCGTAAAACGTTCAGACGACGCGCAAATGCGTGTGAAGAAAGACCCTGTCATAACGAGATATGATACGCTTTTGTACCTCGTCTATATATGTCACGGATTTACAATGCATATTTATGACACACAATGCGTATCATTAAAGCCGCTGTCAAGAAAGACCATGTCATAAATGAAGACAACACACATTTTGCTTATCGTAATTTTAAATTAAAAAAATTATTTATAGATTTACGTATTTTCAAATTAAATTTGCATTTAATGTCTTATAATAGAAAATAAAATACCATATACAAAAAATACAATTCATTGCACAAAAGTTAATGTCACATATAGAGTCACTTCAATAATAGACAAATGTAATATATCAAATGTGAGAGATGAAAGTAATCAACAAATAATAGTTGAACTACAAGAACTTGTTGAACTACAAGAACTTTGCTTGACACTATGCACATCAACAAGACCTGCAAATTTGAATAATGCAATCATTAGATTCACATAAACCAACAAATCTCAATATGTAAAAATGAGATTAACTATACTTAGTACTTACCTTTACATCCTTCACATGAAACCACCATACCTCCTTTGATTTCATTCCTGTGTGTTGACCAGCTTGACTATTTGTTCGGGTTTGTCGACTAATCATCTTTCAACCCTTTCGTATCAGCCACATAAAAAGATTAAAAGGTTGACAAAATCAAAAACTTTCCAAGATCAGCAACAACAACAAGCATCATTATATATTTTTCTCTTTCTCATCCCAGTTTCAAGAAACTTAGGGTTAACACCATGACCACTGTAGATAATTGATCTTGGGAGATCCTATATAGCCCCAGATAACCGTATCACCAACCACAAAATTTTGTGACATGTCATCAAGAAATAGTCATTGTATACATAAGGTTTGTTTATTTTCTTCCAACAAACAATTTTCATAATATTCATCAATGTTAATAAGAGAGGATTTGGGAGGAAAAAAGAAGGAAAAATATGTAAGCTCATTAAATAAAAAAGAAATAGGCCCAAAGGCAATCTATGCAAGAATATGAGAAACTATGTTTTTCTAATAATAATATTATTTCAATAAATATACCTTGTTACAATATATATCGACCAGCCATTTATTCATGTATCTGAGAAGAAATGCATAGGCACGCCCATTTTTCTCTCTTTTGACATACTCAAAATAATTCGTGTGAACAATTCTTATTACATGGCGGAATTTAATCTTCTATCTTTTACCATGGTGATACCATATTAAATGCTCAGGTTCCTCAAGAACAATAATATCTGATTCAGAATCTAGAATGCTCTTTGTTATATCCCCAAGAGCAAGGATGCGTCTTTTACTTCTAGAAAACTTAAAAAATCAAAAATAATTTACTTAAATTAGTTTAAAATTTAGAGTAAACGGTGAACATGGTACCCCGAAGTTTGCAATTTTCCTTGGTTGAGTAAAAAAAGAAGGAATATTTTTAATAAATACTCCTTCTTGACATGTTTCCTTCTAGTTTTGGTTTTGGTCCTTAGGCTAACACCATTAATTATGATCCATCAAGTATGTATAAAATGACTATTTTATCCTTCCTGTCACTTTATAAGGGTTTAACATACTTAAACTAACGATGTTGTTAAAGTCAGGTACCAAAAGAAGAATAAAACATGTTAATAAGGACCATTTTGAAAAAAAAAATACATTTCTGGACTAAAACCAATAAGAATTGCAAACCATAGGGGCTATATTTGAATTTTCATGGAAAACCAAATGATTTAGTAAAACTTTATCTAACATCAGCATCAATAAAGCCTTTTGTTAGAATAAAAGATGGTTATGGATACAAATAGTAGGCAACTCTATAACCTTTTAGCAAGTAGTGTAAGAAGGTTAAAAAATTGTTGCTCATAAGGCCAAACTAAGTTCAGGAATTTCATGTCCATAAAACCATTGGAAAATTAGCAAAGATAATAATAAAAAAAATTCAGAGCACCTGAAATTCCAAGCCATCCACTTTCCGACATGCATTTGACTCCTATTTCTAGTCTATAGGTATCAATTACAAACAATTTCAAAGAGAAATCAGGTTGTATTCGAGGTAAAATCTAGAAAGTTGAATTGTTTAATTGTACACAACACTGAGTGAAAACCAAAAAAAATATTCTTTGTGTCCTCAGCAATTATTTCAGGTTTAATAACTTTGGAAGTTGCCAAAAAAAGAGAAAAATATAACTTCACCATACTTGTAACTCATTCCAAGTTGCCAACAACGATCTAACTTTTCAGGATCCTGTATAAGAATGACTACAACCAGAAACATCGACAACAAGAGAGCACCTCGATCTAAAAATTATAAGAGGGAGAGAGAGAGAGAGAGAGAGAGAGAGAGAGAGAGAGAGAGAGAGAGAAAGAAAGAGAGAGACATAGAGCATTCAAAAGGAATAAACAGGGGAGTTTATTAGAACAAGAGAGATGAGAGATGAGAGAGAAAGAGAGAAATGGAGGGGAAGAGTAGCTATAACCCGTAAACTTTACCTTCACTGTAATTGTCTCCGGTTGTGTTGTCAAAGTTGGCCTAGTAAAGTACGGAGTCAATCCAACTTCCTTCTACACAATCTTCTTTTCTCAATACCAATTCCGGGAAGTTTTTGGTCGTTAGAGCAAACCATCTTCTCCTTAAATCAGTCCAAACCCTAACCCCTAATTCACTAACTCAATAGTGGGATTAATTTTTTATTTATGGGAAGATAAGGAGGAAGAAGATGAATACGAAAGTAAATACACTAGAGCAGTCAATCATGTTATGTAATTGCTTCACCGTTGGGCACCATCGTGAATTGCAGCAGGGCGTTATCAATGTGAAGAGTCATAGACCCCTAATCGCTGGTTCTATGAAGGATATTGTGAGGTCAACATCCCTAGTTCTTTGAAGCAAGGTTTAAGAATTATACGAAGAGAACATAAGAATGAGTCGAACTTCCTTTTCCTGGTTCTTTTCATTTTTGTTGCTTCTTTTCATTTTCTCTCCTATTTCTACTTCTTCGACGAACCATGGATGACTTGAATACGGGGATCATTCCTTCTTCAAGCAAGTTCACCGCTCTTAAAGAGCATTTTGGTTTTCTTCCTAAGCACGGCGTGGAGTATCCTCGAAAGGGGGCGATAATTTCTCGTCCACCGGAGGGGAAGGTCGGGGTTCCTATTCCGATCTTCGAGGCTGGTCT